AGTTTATTTATTCATTTGAGATGCATCAATGAAGTTTTTAGTGAAAATTTATGACCGAAGCAGCGATAATGAGGCAAACAAAATTGATCAGTGCCATTGACCATCGTCGGATACCACTACTGTACCCATCTATAATATTTCTGTCTGCTGATAAATAAATTTTTAAACATAGAAATTCTTTTTCTGGTTAAATAATCGATATATATATATATATTTTTTTGTTGTTGTTGTTGTTTTATTTTAAGCATAAAACATAAAATTGCAAACATAGACTTAAGAAACACGCACAGAGTCATGCACAAATACCGCTAAATAGACGCCTATATTGATAAGATAAACTGTTGCTTAAAAAGAATGTATTAAGAAAAAAAAAAGAAAAAAAAAAATCTGTGACTATACTATTGTTTTGCACTTTTCTTTTTTTTTTTTTCACTCTTAAAGTTTATACTACTGATACCAACGATATTTAATCTTTTGTTATTTTTAACACCAAATATACTCAATGAAGTCTTTTGGCGGTTCTAGACGGCTTTAAACTGCTAAAAGAAGTCAAAAAATCTATTATTAGAAAAACAAAAACCGGGTCAGAGGTTTTAAAAAAAAAAATACCAACTATGATCTATAAGCTACATTAATGGCAAGAAAAAAGAAAATGAGAAAAAAGCAGAAAAAGAACATTTTTAATTGTATCAGTTTACAGAAGGTTTAATGAAGAAAACGATGAAGAAGAAAAAAAAAAAAGAAAAATGAATGAGTAAACACAACTGAGACAGCTCTCCAGTTAGTGCTTAATCATTTGCTCAGTAAAGATCTTCTTGATTTCTGTCATCCGTCTACGTCTACAATACCACATCATCAAGAATTTTACAGAAAATATTTTGTTTTTTTTTGCTATTCTCTTTCTTTTCTCAATTTTTCAGGAAAATTTATTAACTGTTTTTTAAAGCTTTACTTCTATTTATCGTTTCAAAGTCAAAAAAAAAAAAAAATGCGTGAACTTTGGAGTGTTTAATAAGGATGAATAAAATAATCTTTTT